CATCAACACCATGCGGGCTAGTTGATTCGTCCATGTAATGCGATGACCTACCGACTAAGCACTGCATCGTTTGATAAGAAACCATAGACAATCAACGCCACGATACGATTCGACAGTGCAGCGAGTCGAAATTTCCGAGCTAACAATAGAACCTGGCTTTGATCGATACCTGTAGCTGTCATCGCAGTACCATTCTGCGATGAAACTTTAGGGTGATATGTTATAGATATGTCATGAGCCACGGATGAGCCTCGGGGTGATCCGGTATCAAAAATGCACAAGACACGTGATAACCGATTCAAGGTAATAACCTCGTCGGGCTTAGGCTAGCCAGCGAGTTGAGCTCGGCTACGCTAGCAAGTCCATAGAGCTGCATCCAAGTATTTCTGTACCGTTATAGGCCTCGAAGAATCGCTTCACATCGTGGACGCAAAAGATGCGCGTTTGATTATCCAATGTAGCCACGGCTATAGCATATAATAAAACACAGAAGTGCCGTGACCACGACTGTTGTAGCCAACTTTGCGACACGAAGCAGCATGGATTAGGTACCGTACCACGCCTATCAGTGACAATCCATATTGGCACGAGCACGATGAACCAGCTGCAGTGGAGCACGCCGTCTAACCGACAGGAAGGTTATGCCAACCAGCACCACCATTGGCTCACTGGACACAACCTGGAGGAAAAGCCATGGACTGCCCAGCGGAGCTACAGCGGCTAGCCAACTCACACCGACGTAGCCGTAGTACTTGAGCGCTATCATCGTGTGGCACCCCCACAGCACACGGTCACTCCAATTCGAATGATTTTGTATTCAGCCGACGGAAGCCTGCCATGAGGTGGAACGAACTCGCTTTGGAGAAAAGCCAAGAAGCACGACGCATCGTAGCCGTAGGCGATCGCCAACATGTACCATATCGAGGTCACGTATTTGGTGGTCTGACGAAAGCTGATGGGTAGAAAACCATTTCCAACGCTACAAAGAACCATCGATTGGATGGAGTCTTCCCTGCCAATAGATATTAGCTTGACGTACCGAAGAGACCTGTCTATATGAGCAGCCCAGCACGTTAATAGAACCCGCATGTTGTCTTCCATTTGGAGCCGACATCGCCTTGCATCGATGACAACAAGGCCAACGACAGAAGGGTCTGTCCTCTTAAGTTGATGGATCGCCACATGCCATGCATTCGCGGCTGTAGCACGTCCGCCGTGCAAACTTGAACGTACTCGCTCGAGTCTTCCAAGTCTATCGACAGCTGGTCGTCTTCGTCCTTGAAGTCCATCGTCGCTATCATTTCGGTCTGGAGGCTAGGCTGAGCGTCCGACAACGAGTTCCGCGATGTCGACAAGCTGTGCGAACTCGTGCTTTGAGCACTCTAGCGATCAAGGCTAGTGTTGATGCACGTCCGCCGAAGATGGATGATGAACCCTGGACCTTGAAACTCGTTTTTCCGAGTGAACGTGGTGGCGTTCTTTTGCCCATGTCTTGTGCTTGCGTATCGAATGGACAACGCAAATTTTGAATCGACCTTTGCGCTGCTTGGGTGAACGCTTCGTGTCCCCACGTTGGTCTACGTACAGTATGTACTGTATCGCAGTTTTGATGCTGGGATATATATGAACCATCTCTTAGTACGTCCTTCCAAAAGTTGGACTGGCCCCTCGGCGGCCCTGCAACACCTTTTTGGACACGTTCGATCTATATGGATCATGGTTTAGCCCGTTTATGGTGTTTGGCGTGTTCTGGCGTCCAGCGCCGTAGGTGCAAAATTTAAAGGGAAATAATAACCATGTCGCATGTAAACCGAGCAATATAGCTAAATTATAATGTAGTACTACAGTATGTAGCCATACGTTGACCTTTAAACACACAGTGGATACCTTTGCCCAGAACTCCCGACTTTTTAGTGATCGAAAACTACTTGCGATGCCAGTCGAGTCGTGTGCGTGAGTTGGAAGAGAGACTGGCTCGCGTTATACGAGCTGTTTTCCCACTTAGCCTTGGAGGGTTGGGCATAAGAATGCTATCGACGGCGTACTTGTCGTCGTTCAGATCGGTCAATACACAGAGTGGCACACCGGCTGCCCCATACATATATGCGTGCAGGTAGGTCCTTGGGCGTTCTAGATGGGTTTTGAATTCTTCCGCGACGTAGCTTGGAGGTACAAGCTCACAGATCGTACTCATACCGGTAAGCAGCAGCAGCAGCAGTAGCCCCAACGAGTATGTGTGAAATGGCAAGTGCCGAAAGTCCCAGTGAGGATGGCCACAATAATCCCAAGAAAGATCAAGAACACCGCGAGCCCTGACAACATTCGTGCCTGAAGGCGGCACTTCCCGCGTAGGATGACGAACCTGGCAATCACGGCTACAGTGTAGCCGTTGTGGTGTACGTCTATTCCTCCCCAGATCTAATTGATTTCACAAACGACTACTACATACACCGTAACTACCAGACTTTTGAACTACTCGTTCCATGTTGCTAGTACTTTGTCTATCCCATCGACTAGGCCGAGTTATCCTAGACATACATAAGTCTGTGTCCGAGTTGGAGCTCCCGATTGTTTGTGTGGGTTTCTGTACTCTGGCCACCTCTGCCAGTATATTAGAAAAATACTTGGTACCATGCTGACAAGAGTACAATCAACAACCATGTCACATAAAGTATCTTGCAAGTTTAGTTAATATAGCCCCGGTAGCGCGCATTCAACCATGGCGACCATAATACACACTCCAACGACTAAACAAGTCACGGGCAACAGCCAGACTGCGACCATGACCCGATATGGCAGCCAATCCCTGTGACTTCCGTCAGGTTCGAGTAGCACGGTGCTGCCCATCTCAAGTTTAATTGCCAACGGGATGAACGCAGCGTACACAGCTCCAACTTGGACGAGCCAAAACCACCTTTTGAAGTGGCTCCACGTCGTGCCGTCCTCAGGTCGTGGCAGCAGCCAGCCCTACGCCAGTGACACTTACAGTTGGATGTATGGTCAAGCAGTCGATTCGGAATTGTGGGGTTTTCAATCAAATAAAAGATTTTAAAGGTTTTTTAATAAATAAAAAAAATATTAATATTTTAAATTTTAGAATTAATAATGTTTTAAATTTTTTTGAATTAGAAAAAGAATTTTTAAAATTTCAAAATTTACCAAGTATTGATGTAAATAGACCAGAATCGATATACGGCCAATCAAAACACAGAACACGAAGAATCAAGTAGCCAATCACATCATGATATGGACAAACAATCGAGCCCAAAAGGCACCAAATATGTTGGGGTAAAAGGACACCATATATACTGGAGTTTGTTCTTGGCGAGCAAACATACCAAGGGCACAATGAGGGCGAGAACAGCCCAGATGGGCATAAACGCAGTCAGCCACGTCACGGCAAGGACGCCGTCGGCTTTGAGGGCCACTGCGATCGCATTGAGCCCAAGAAGCGCCTGCCATTCCAGCTGTACAGCGCTCAATATGGTGTACACGGCCAGCGGCGCTGTGATGGCAAACCACGTCATGGGTACTGCGTCTAGGACGTGCAGAAAGAAAAGCACTTGGGAAGAAAACACGAGGAGGACTTGAGCTGTTTTGCAGAAACGATGGCAAGTGGGGAACGACGATACTTGCAGCATGCAGTATCGAATCCAAGCGATCGAGTACATGAGGTCGAAGATGAGGACGGCTAGCAGGACGTGGTGCCACGTGTAAAAGTGTTCGCTTGGTGGCATCGTCGTGACCGTAGGTTGAGGTCGACGCCCTTTTTTTGGCGTCGGTTGGTCAATGTACGATCGCTTGTCTGCCACAAGGCACACGACTAGACCTGTGACGAGGATGATGTATGATGTCGCGAGATGGAAAGGATGCACGCACCTACGCCCATGGCGGCAACATGTAGTGGGATGGGGGTCAGAGATTCAAACGCGACGGTTGCATTCCACTGCTGGACGATCCACTCACATACGTCGCGCGGAGGCCGCGTGGGCAGTGGAAGCAGCGGTCTCCTACCATCTGCAGGCACAACCCCATCAGCAAATTCGACTTCTATGACCGTCGGAGCTTGAGATGAAGGGGGTAGTAGGGGCTGCCTCTCGCCATCCAGTGGCGGCGGTGCATAGCGAGGATACATTGCCAAGGGTGCAAACATCGTCGTTCTCGCCAGCGTCATTTCTCGGATTGGATCATCATCCGTATAATATTTGGTTATCACATGAAAACAATCCGGATACCCGGGTAACGCATACTATTAATAGTACTATTAATAGTAGAGCTACTACAGTAGTTAGTTTCAGTAGTGGACGACGACCAATGCCAACACTCTAATTAGCGTGATTATTGGCACCTCCAAACTGACCACTACATACTTATGTACAAGTGCTCTAGCATGATGGATATCCCCATTCGTGTCTTTAGGCCTCAATGTGTACAAGTACTGTAGGTGACCAAATCTCTCATAACGTTACTATTAAATAGTACACGCATATACTTCAGTAGTAAAGCAGAAGCAGCGTCCATTTGAGCATTCTGCGACGTGGTAATTTCAGTACAACCCACAACTACGCTGCAAACAGGAGCCGTGGATCCATCTACTTCAGTCCTCGGTGGGCTTTTGGCCAAATATCAAGAAAGTTGAAACGCCTGGCCGTTACAAACCCGTTACATTTCCCAGGCGCACTTAGCGGGGAGCTGGCCAACCATTGGTGAAGACGACCATGGGTTCACTCACGTTCAAAGAACGAAGCCATGTCCAAGGACCAAGCTCCAGCCGCCGCCGCCGCGCCGCCGAAAGGCAAAAAGCACCGCAAGGACAAGCCTTGGGACACGGACGATGTCGCCCACTGGAAGGTCGAGGTATGTATGCATATGCACGTCCTCGTCGACCTGTCCATCGTCAACAAGTGCCGTGGATGATCTCATCACGTCATGTAGTCGTGGAACGACGACGACAACAAGACGGGCATGCTCGAAGAGAGTTCATTTGCGACCCTGTTTCCCAAGTACCGTGAAAAGTACCTTCGCGAAGTGTGGCCCATCGTGACCAAAGCGCTGGACGGTGTCAAGCTTGTGTGCGAACTCAACTTGATCGAAGGCAGCATGACCGTCCGCACCACACGCAAGACCACCGACCCGTACGTCGTGCTCAAGGCGCGGGACCTGATCAAGCTCCTCGCGCGCAGCATCCCCGTGAACCAGGTCTGCTGCATCCCATCCATCCCATGCCTTATCGATGCTTATCCATTCGCAGGCCATCAAAGTCCTCGACGACGAAGTCCAGTGCGATATCATCAAAATCGGCGGCCTCGTGCGCAACAAGGAGCGCTTCGTCAAGCGTCGGCAGCGCCTCGTCGGACCTGACGGCGCCACACTCAAAGCCATCGAACTGCTCACAAACTGCTACGTGCTGGTTCAAGGCAACACGGTTCGTGCCATTATAGCAATTTGCATAGCTATTTTCCATGTCGATGTGGCTATACTTGCGACGTCGTCGTACTAGTTGCTACATTAATGCGTCAGTCTATTATTTATTTGCCATATTGTCGATTTGATATACAAATTTTGGGCAATCGAATCGCGCCGACCAAACCGATCCACAATCGATCTGATTGGTTGAATTTCATTGAGAAATGGGTTTTGATTGGCTAATAATTTTGAGCTCTTCTGAAGTAGCCAATCAAATCGATTTAAATTCCAACGAGAAACCACAATTTCACTCGAAAGCACAATATATCGAGTGATTATTTATGTCCGTCTCCGATAGCCATATATATCTATATCTATAATCTCTCTCTATATATATATATATATATACACGTCGTAGCTGTTAGCTATATTGCAATGCTGCTCGAATAATGTTTTGTATGCATTGAACGCATACTGGTTTGCCTTCGTATGTATGTATTTGCATAACAATTACCCAACGTAACCCTATATTGTCGACGCAACCATATATATACATATATATACAATATATATACATATATATTGTCCTTTAACATTTTAAGCAATTAAGTATATATGTAGGTTTCTGCCATGGGGCCGTACGCTGGCCTTCGCCATGTGCGCAAAATCGTAGAAGACTGCTTCCATAACGTCCATCCAATCTACAATATCAAAACGCTTATGATCAAGCGCGAGCTGAGCAAGGTGGCGTACATACACTATAAACAAAAAAACCTCTGAACATGAATACACCTCCAACCAACATATCTTGTCAGGACCCCAAGCTATCGGGCGAAAACTGGGATCGCTTTCTGCCCGTGTTTAAGAAGAAGAATGTCCAGACCAAGAAGCCCCATGTTGTGCGTGAGAAGCGCGTGTATACGCCGTTCCCGCCGGCGCCGACTCCGTCCAAGATTGACAAGGAGATTGAAAGCGGCGAGTACTTTATGAAGGAGCACGAACGCCAGGCGATCAAGCAGGCCAAGAAGACGCAAGCCAACTTGGAAGTTCGGGTACAGATGGATGATATTTTTGGGATATTTTTGAAATTTTTGGCCAGTTTTGAATGAAATGATGACCGGTAGGAGCAAAAAAAAGCCGAAAAAGCGTCGGCGTTTGTCGCGCCCGCGGAAAAAAAGCGCAAACGCGACGACAAAAACAAATTGGCCCCCACCGTGGACGACCTGAAAAACAAATTTCTCGCCCAGGAGGTACGAAAATAAATATAAAAAAAAGTTTTTTTCACAACGTTGTAGGACTCCAAGAAGAAGAAGGCCAAGGCGTCGTCGTTATCGGATTTTGTCAGCAAATAACTCCAAACCCATTGGATTGCATTCAATTTAGTCAAATACTTCTAGTGTTTCCCGCCAGGATATTGATATCCATCGCTGAGGCATGATTCATTCGCTAGACAATAGATAACTGTGATAGGCAATAGATAACTGTAATAGGCAATAGATAACTGTAATAGTTTATTTATAACGTGTGCTTCTTGGATAGTATATTTTGAGCGTGTTAATATGAAGGGAGGAGATCAGTAGTAGTTACTGTAGCCCTCTACTTATTGTACGTACGCATAGGCATGTACCATGGACGACCTATCTACTAATAGTAACGTTACTAGTAATAGTATGAAACATGATACAAGCACAACATTGCAACGTTGTCGTCGAAATTAAAAGATCACGATTAACTACTAACGTTACTACTAATACTACTACTCGACACCGTACTATTATTACGGATTTTAAGGGACACTTGCTACTTCGAATTTGCCATTTCATCGGAAATGATTGGTTGAATAACTTCGAACTTCGATGGAAATCTCGATATTTAGCCAATCTTATAATGCTTTCACATATTCAAATCTTATTGGCTATAATATTCTGTACTTCCATAAAACTTCGGTGTCCCTTAAAACTTAAAATCCATAGTATCAATCATCCCGTGCATGAAAGTAACGCTTTTTTAGTTGGTCTTTTAGTTGTTAGTTGGTCTTTTAGTTTTTTAGTTGGTCTTGTGGTGAGGTTTGAGCACACGCCAAGCTGTCATGGGCAGCTTCTGGAGCTTGTCCACATGTTGGTAGGCCAGCGCCAGCCAGAGGACCCCCACGGCCGTGCACACGCCCACTTCGACAAAGTACCCGTCTGTGAGGATGGTACAGACGCCGCCAGTGGACTCGCACGCGGATTTAGCATCGGAATCACCACAGCCATTCATCGCATCACTCGAACACAACTTGGTGGTCAGAGAATCCACAAACGCCAAGCTCAACGAATTGGGCCACTATGTATATACACAAGAACGACGGTCAATATATATATATATATATGATTCTATTTATATATATATATATGATTCTATTTATATATATGATTCTATTTATATATATATATCGTATCATACTCTTGTATACCACAACAACAAAGTGTGTTGCAAAACTCAAACAAAAGCAAAGATGGACAACCATATACACTATACAAGGTAGATACTACTACTACTAGTAGTACTACTACTCTTCTTGCCGTATACAAATATATATATGTATTTGTATATATATTGTCAAACCGATTCAAGGTCCCACCGTCGATTATAAATAGTAGTGAGTTGAGTAAGTAGTACCTTGGAGCCGAGGTTCGAGATGGTATTGAGGTACGTCATGTACGTTCCTCCAATGCTAGGGTCGCTAACCTTGGCGAAAAATGCCATCTGGGGTACATACATCATGTACACACTGACTTCATGGCAGGCGCCGGCGACAAGGAGGAGGATGTAGTAGTAGTAGTGCACATCTTCCGTGTGGGTCATGACTGTGGGGGTCAGGTACACGATGGTCGCATAGAGTAACCCGACTACAAGGCGGAAAGGAATGGCCAGAAGGAACAGGTGGAGCGGCCGCTTCTTGTCCATACGATTCGAGATGAGCACTGGTAGTAGCAGCCCCAGAGGCACGAGCACGGGCGAGAGCAGCGCTAGCTTCTCCTTTTGCACTCCATATTCCACCAACTTGAGCGAAGAGACCGAGTCCGTCGCGGCAAATGCCATCTTGCACGTGAGCTGGACGATTGTAAGCGCAAGCACCGACGGCAGCTGCATGACGGTCCACATTTGATGGTATGTGTCGCGAATGGTCAGGTTGTGGTCGAGATGGGGCTGCTCGGTCTTGCATATCCACACAAACACGGTCGTGGCTAGCATGATGTAGCCCCAGAACGTCATGAAACTTGGCAGGGTGACCAAGCCTATATAGAGACGGATGGTTGTAAGGGATTCCTCTTCGTGAATGGAAGGGCGGGCATCACCTGTGACAAGGTTGGGTTCGCTGCGGAGGTACGCGTTGCATGTGGCGGGGTCGTTCAACGCGAGGAAGCCGACGTATGCGATAAAGTAGCCCAGGGTTTGACCGATCGAGTTGCATGTAGACGCGTACCCGACGTTCTTGGGACTGAGCATAGTCAGCGCCCACCCGTCGACGGCAATGTCCTGCGTAGCCATGAGGAAGTAGAGCGCGAAGAAGAACGCTGTGAGTTGATGCACGTCAGGGACTTCCATGTCGAGGAGTGTGCCGACGAACGGCCCGCCTAAACAAAGTCATGCAGCAGCTAGGACGAGAGATAGACGTCATCGCCGTACCGAAGATCATGAGCCCGGAACAGAGCAACTGCACGGGAATGAGCCACGACTTGCGGCGGCCAAACGATTCTGAAAAAATCGAGTCGACAATCGGAGCCCACAACAGTTTGAGGCTGAACGGCCACGACACGAGACTGAACGTCGCTTGCTCGGCATAACCGACCTAACCATCGCCATGGCATGTGAACATCTAAACGTGGCGGGTGTGACGGGCTCTGTACAGTACCTTGCCCTGCAACAAGAACGGAACGCTGCTCGACAGACCCATGGGGATCCCTTGCAGTGTGTACAGGACCATAAGCACTGCGATGGACCCAACGTCGCTCGCTTCATCTCCGGGTGAGGATGAGATGGCGCGATGGTCGTGCTGGGAGTCCGCCGCCACGGACGCTTTGGTCGAGCTGCTGCGCTTCTTGGCCATGATGTTCAACTGAATGAACACGTGGCTACAGAATGTATGTCGAGTGTAGCGTCACGAGATGCCATTGGTTGTTTCCAGCGAATCAAAACGCGTTATATTCAAAAAGACAACTCAATTTATCCAATCAAAACGTGCCAATGTTGTTGATATTACACATTCGTTACTGCAAATTGCTAAAACCACCAGTGAAATCTTGAAAATCTTCTTCACCTTCAGACTAACTATATGATCATGTTTCCACATGTAACACTCGAATAAGAGAGTAATCTCTGTCCACATGTAATGCTATCTATCTATATATGTACAAAGGCAATTTGACGTATTTGCTTGTGTTGAAAATGGAGTAAAAACACCCCGAAATATGTACCGCCGCCGTGCGTTGCGAATTCAGAGCTTGGGGAAACAGATTACTTCGTACTTCCTGGTAAAATGACATGCGAAGAAGGGGGAGGTAGGATACTAGCAGTAAGTATAACTTATCTAGGATAACTAGCAGTAAGTATAACTTATGCCTGTACTGGCACTTTCATTGTACTAAGATGTCGTGCAGGTTAGATTTGGATCTAGGAGTTTTAAAGGTGGCGTTCATAGAATTAAATCACTTGAGAGCGTTGAACGTACATACTCTATGCAAGTTTAAATAGATTCCCTTATGCTTGTTATGGGAGCGGTCAAATGGTGGTCAAAATCACGACGAAATGTGGTTGCTGTAATTTTATATGTAACATAAGTAGGATATCATACATCTGGTCGTTGTCGTCGTGGATAAACACCTGAGAGCTTGGCCTTCACCACTCTATTCTGGACCTGCACACACACATGGGGCGACCATCACGACCGTGGCCGTTAGACGGGAACGGGTCTGTGAACTCTCCTGTGATGCGATGGGCATGGAATGCGTGTGTGGGGTGCTTCCGCGGCACCCGGAACGCGGCGTCCATGTTGTGGCGGCGCCTCGAGCGGCGTCCGCGGGTGCTGCGGTTCCTCCTCGCACTCCTCGTCATGATCGGGGTCGGCGTCGCAATCTGGCTGCTTACACCCGAGGTGCCGGTCCCCAAGTACAGCGACAAGGACACGACGATGCACACGATTCCCAACTTCCAGGAAGACCACATCCCCGCGCTGTGGACGGACGACGCGTACGAGTGTGTGGGGTGGCAGGAAACAGACTCATGCGAGCCCGAGGACATCACGAGTCGGCGGCCGCTCGAGACCAAAAAGTGCGACGAAACCATCGACCAGCGCCGCGCCGGGTTTTGCCAAGTGCGCAACAAAACGTCCGGCGCGATTCTCCGCCTCATGGTGTCGTCGTGCCACTCGATGCAGCACCGCCAGTACACATGTGACATGGCGCGCAACTTCTCCGAGTTTGCCCTGCTCGCCGCGACGTACCAGCACATGCCGCTGGCCACGTCATTGTCGTTACCGGAAGCGCAGCAGCATCCGCCGACCCGCGCGATTCTCATGATCGTGTACGACAAGGTGCTGCCGAGCGCGTACGCCGCGATCCGCGTGATACGAGACCACGGATGCACGCTGCCAGTGGAGATGTGGTACCGCCCCGACGAGATGCAAATCGACGACAACGCGCTGATCCAGCACCTCGTCGCAGATTTCAACGTCCACCTGCGACAGATATTTGACCCTCGCGCCGTGGGCTTCCACACCAAGCCATACGCCGTCTACTACTCCCATTTTGACAGCATCTTGCTCTTGGATGCAGACAACGTGCCCGTGCGCGACCCTACGTACCTCTTTGACGACCCTGCGTTCGTTGAGACGGGCGCGCTGTTCTGGCCAGACTACTGGCAACCCCCCAACTCGCTTTTTGATGTAACAAGCCACAGTTTGCTGTGGCAGCTGCTCCAGATGGAGTTTCTGTCCGAATTCGAACAAGAAAGCGGCCAAGTGCTTATCAACCGCCGACGAGCCCCCGCTGCGCTCAACAAGCTCATGTATTACTCGACCCACGGCCCCAAACTTCTCGATAACCTCAAGCTCATCTGGGGGGATAAGGATCTGTTTCGACTTGCATGGCGGAATACGTCCACGGCATATCATATGATGGCGAAACCCCCGGCCATCGGAGGCATATACAGGTACATACATATATGTAGTAAGTATTGGCTGGAGTTTGAGTTTTGCATTATTTCTAGAGGCAGCAGCATATATATGGGACTAATTTTCTACTCTATCCACGAGACCCTACATTCCATCATCTAACATGTTATTATGCGTACACTAAATCGACGGATATTTGTCGGATTGGTTTCGATATTGATACGATATACTTTATATATTTATGGATGATATTGATAGATATACTTTATATATTTATGGATGATATTGATAGATATACTTTATATATTTATTGATTATATTGATAGATATACTTTATATATTTATTGATTATATTGATAGATATACTTTATATTATTATATTGATAGGGTATACGTTATATATTTATTGATTATATGCTTTTATACGTTTGGCTTGTATATCGAACGATTCACGTATGGTATGCGAGCGTTTTTCACTCGACATGACCACCATATTTTTCCAATGGATGATATACATTTCTTGGACGATTTTTATTATTATGTTCACCTTCTTGTGTGTAAACTCGAGGTATCGTACAGTCGCTATAAACTAACTTGCAACATTCTCGAGGTTTCCATATTGAATCACGCTGGAGAGTTGTGATTGGATGAATATACTTGTGTAAGAGCCAATCAAATCCACGCAAAATACTTGGATCGAGATTCGGCGACGTGATGATTCGACGAGGTCTTATGGATATAATTCGTATCCCGATTGCACAATATATGACACAGTGTTTTGTTTTTCTTATTGATTGGCCCATCCCTACTACAGGACTAGCTACATATCATGTCTAGTTATACGAAGCGCATCTTCTGTGGGCTGGCCATGATCCAATATGACCCGCAAGGAGAAATCCTATTCTTCCACCGCAACAGCATCAAACTCGACGGATCTCCCAACCAGCCGCATGTGATCACGCATATCCAGCAGTACCGCGGCGATTCCCGCGACTACCGCGTCGGCCAAATCATCTCGGAGCTGGACCAGGAGAGCTGCTACTACATCCGGACAAATCGGTCGCTGGCATCCGGCGCAACGCCGACATATGTGACACCGATCGAGTTTACGCCGTTCGATGCGGTGGAGCCGGCGGCGATTGCCTACTCGGTGGAAGGACGGCGCATCGTGGAGGCGGCGGCCTCGGGGCTAGCCACGTCATGGTGGTGGCCCTGGCGGTGGATAGAGCGGATGGGGTACGCAAGTGTGTGTATGGCGGGCGTGTTCTATGGCTTGCGATGGTGGAGAGCTCACGAAGCCAAGGCCCATCTCACCACGAACAACCGGTGGAAATCATACTAACGGCGCTACTAAAGATTGAAATTCTTCATATATAAAGACAATCTGACTTGGTCATTGGACGAGTACAGTAGTGTGCGTTTGGATGGGATTTCGTACGTACTGTACGATACATACATGGATATGCAAGCGGGGGGGGGATGTACTACAGTACTGTACAGATTACTTATTACTTGTATACTACTAGTACTACTATTTTGTTATTTGTGGGGGGGTTCATTCTAACTATAAACTGGAGCGAACAGAAGAATTGAGCCAATCCGGTTGCAGGAAACCACCTTCAACGTCGAATTAGTGTGTGACTAAATTAGTGTGATATGTACCAATTACCACAGGACACACAAAATCCAGTAGTAAGTTACAAAGAAGATATCGATCGATAGATTTGGCGAATCAGCACAAAAGTCAACCAAAATTTGGGTAAAGGACAATAATATTACCATTTTATTACCTTGATTTACTGTGAACGCGGATATAACTATTACTTCCCTCGTTCACGTTGATTGGCTAGCTTGGGATCTTTATCCGGAAATACTGGTTATCCGTATGTTGAACAATTGAGATACATTATATATACACTGACAAGGATATGCATCGTTTTTCGACGGTCTCTCTACATGCTGCGCAGGTCCACTTTGAGTGCGAAGAGTGCGACGAGGAAGGCGCCGGTGCTCAAGACGCCGCCCACGAGGATCGGAAGGGCGTGACCCATGGCACTCTTGACCAGTATCGCAGAAAAGATAAAGTTGAGAAACTGGCCGCAGCAGTTGGCCGAGTTGAACGCGCCCGCAAAGAGGCCGAGGTTGTTGTCGCTGCCGTGACCAACCACGTGGATGATCATGGGCATCACAAGCGCAAATATGGTGTTCTGGGTCACAGTGCACCCGACCACAAGTATCACATCCACGGGAACGACGTGGCAGAACACCATCACGACGAGCATCGCCTGGGGAATAATCGACGCCGTGATGACCCACTTGGCGCCAACCTTGCGCACCAGAAACGGCAACGCGGCCAGAAACACGATCCCGACCGCGTTGAAGATGGTGTCCGTGAGTCCCCCCGCGAGGCGGACGCCGTCATTGAACGCGATTTGCCGGGGAGTACAAGGAAGGGTGTTGGGCTTGCCGCACGTGTCTGCATCTTTGGCCACACCTCGGTACACAACAAGCCCAAAGAACTGCCCCTTTGCCCCATTGTACGCGGTGAACCCGTATTGCACCAGCAGCATGATCGCGCAGTAGACGGCAAGTGTCTTGGGCAGTTTGCGGAACCCCGTCCACACAGCTTGGAGCGACGATCGGATCTTGTGATACTTGGGGGCACGGACAATGACCGAATCATCCGATTCGACGAGCGGCGTTTCGTGAACGAACCAGCACACGGAGAGCGTCGTGGTGAGCATGATGCCAATCAACATGCCCAGGAACAGATGGATCGATTGATGTGCTGGGCCAAAGACCAGAATGTACCCCGACACTGCAAACGACCCTGCGATAGAGTACCCAGCGCCGATGCTGGCCGCGGTTACTTGGCGGTGGCCGGCGAAATCTGCAATGATGAGTCCCGCCGGCACCTGTGTGATGTTGACCGTGATGTCCATCCAAATGTAGCACATGACCACGACCACAGTAGTCCATGTGCGGTCGCCGCCGCCATCGCCGAGCGCGGCACCGATCGCCGTCGCATTCATCATGACACCCCAGCACAAGGCCGATGTGACAGCGCCCCAGAAGAGAAACGGGCGGCGGCGACCCCATCGGCTCGTGCATGCGTCAGAAAGCACGCCGATGGTCGGCGCGATGAGGAGCCCCGTGGTGGGCCCCACGAGTTGCACGGCTTGCACGGCGGACGGAGACAGCAGCGTTTCGAGTAGGGGGCCCAGGGCGGCCCACTGGGCGGCCCACGCCATGTTCATAGCCATCTTGGGGGCGCAGAGGATAAACATAAACAGGATCGAGCAGCTTTCGACGGTCTGGTCGGGCTTTGTGTCGAGTGCAATGTGGTCCTTCTTTGCATGGTACGTCGAGTTGGTTGGCGATTCCACGCAGATGGCGGGCGACTGGTGGTCGGAAGTACTAGCCATGGCAAATTCAGCAATGAAAAAAGTTGTGTACTACATATATATATATATATATATGTTGTCATACTGTAAGGAATATATAGTGCCTGCCAGTGCAATGTTGCACTTGATAGTAGGACTAGTTTCATGGGCACCACCCCTCGGTGACGTCTCTTTGGTGTGCATATACTAACTAGTACGTACCTAACGTTATGTGAATTCTTTACGTATACTAATTACTATTAATATCTACCGTATTTGTCGTTGATCTGCATCATGAAATACAAAACGCGAATATAATTCTATAATTCAATACAATCTTGAATCAATTATACAATTCGAATATTTAAATAAATTCTTCAAATTTAATTCCATGGTGCAAATACGGTAGTACGTGGGGATGATCGTTGAAGATTTGATCGAGGTCGTCGTCCATTCGTTTACTAGTAGCCCAGAGTTGTCGTGCCTGCCTGATGATATATACTACGTAGTACTACTCTGTATGACGTTACCTATTCATAGTACTACTGTACTTAGCACTTTTGTTCGCTTGTGAACGTGTCCAACTTGATCGGGTATTATATGGTGGTGTACTGTAAGCTTATTACTAGTACGTAGTAAATCTTAGTAGTATAACGACTGA